GGATGTAAAGAGCATTTAAAGCTTATGTTAAATTCATTGCATTTTAAATGTAGTAGGAGTAAAAAATATTTTATGCATTAGAAATATTAACCACTGAGATGTTGGTAACAATATAAAATAAACCATAATGAAGACAACTTGCGGAAAAGAATGTGTGGTGTTTAGATTCTATTCGATTGTACTGGAGGAGGTCAATTACATTAAATAATCAAGCTATACGTAATAATTACCCATATCATTGAGCCTCAGATTTCTTACTCATGTGTTAGTAACTGTAGTTTAGATTTTTTTGTTTTATACTACTAGTGAGTAGTTCAAAATATATTACAAACGTAATATCCTTCGAAGCTTCAAATGCACGGCTTATGTTTTAAGGCTTCGCCTACACATGAATGTTTTTGCATAATAACGAAGTAAAGATTTGAATCAGGAAGTTTTTGCACATAGTAACACAATGACTACAAGTCGTTTTGCAAATTGCAAATGATGTATTGGTAATTGATTTGAGGAATTCTTTTCACTGAATGATCATTGAACAGCTGAGGAGTACAAACTATTAATGTTGAAAACATTTAAGCAGGAATCTTAACTACATTAAATCTTTGTCTCTTACCACAAAATATACTTGTGATACTATTTTGGTGCATAAAAGAAAACACGTGATTATCATGAATACTACCACCGGGATTGTATTGAAGACTGTCTAACTCCACTAAGTAGATCATCAGACGTTTATAACCTTTTCGTATCTTCGAGATTGTAATCTGTACGAAAGCTTCAGTCTCCACTGTAACATACCCAGTGTTTATTAACGCTGTCCTAAGTCTAACTTTTGTAAACCTTTAGTGACAACAAGCTCTACCCTTATGTGAGATAATAGTCTAAATTTTTATGGTGGTGACCACATTACGACCCGTATGCAAAGAAACGATTAACAAAATCAGCAGTTATATAAAATGACGATTCATAATCCAAGTTCTTGCATTGTCTGAATAATAGATATCTTCCATTATCTAACCATATACGCGTATCGCTGTTACTTACTATGGGTAAAAGTAAACTGGTATGACTTTCTACGACTTAGATCATTTTTTAATAGTTTGAGTGATTTTGTGAAATTTACCAAATAACTGAAACAGTAAAATGGTCAGAAATACCACTAGTTATCTATGTATTCGTTATTAAAGCCGAAAATGTATTGATCAGAAAATTTCACAAAAAAGAACTCCATTCACTTACATTTGTAAATGTAGCTAAGGTATACGAAACCTAAAAAGTTGAACCATGTTTAGCTTATTATTATTGATACCATACTTCCACACAAATTAAATTGGTCTATATGTATTGACCTGAATAATGACGGTTTATATGAGTCAGCTTTAACAAAAGACAAAAAATATAAATACAGAAAAATCTATTTTACTTATGCAAATGACCTTTGACCTGTTTATAATTAGAGCGCAATTGTCAGAAAACCATTGATATTAGTCTAGATCTCTACATGAAGGATAAGAATTACAATTACAATGAAAATCAATGTAGTATTTTATTGATCTGACTTGACTATGTTATGAAATTATCAGAAAATAGGAAGTCAATAGACTGTAATTTAAATAATCCGGCTTTTGTATGATCCAGCTAAACCAAATGAACAAAAAAAAGTAGATTATTCAACATTGAGCATCCACAAACTCGCACACGGCCTTGCGCATGAACACCCAGACTCTAGACCATTAAGTTGGCATGTAATGTTGTGAATAGCTAACTTCAATCCACAAATGACATTGCACGACCATTCTCCATTGTCTTCGATGGGTTACTGCCTCAGACTCGACACAGTTTAGTTTCAAAGGCTAAATTCCCGCGTGCAAGGTCTTGGATGAGCTCTGCTAAGGAGTTCATTACTAGGATGAAACTTCCAGCCAATCGTTTCAAGCTTTCAAATGAGATCTAACTCGAATCGGTTCATGATTTTAATAAATACACCAATCTCCACAACCTTTTACTGATAAAAAAGATAATGGAATCACGTAATCAATTGGAGGTTCATGTATTGTACTTTTAACCCACATTTTAAACATTCATATATTAAAGACCTGGAAACTATATCAGAACAAGCTGCCAGTGGATATATGAAAAGACTGTGTGGTAGAACCAAAACACCTGACGAGAAATTTAGTAGACCGGAGCAATCAGTCGGAAGAAAAGGGATATACTCACTAACGATCGACAGCAGAGGAACAAGCCGGTAAAGCATGATAAAAGACTTTGACATAGCTGAGAACCAAAAGTATTTGCTAAAAACGGTTGAATAACACTATTTACAAAACAAAAGACAAATTAGAGATTCGTCGAGAATTTTACTAGGCGGAAGGTATAGTCTGATTAAGGATGACAGTAAAATAGTCACCGCTCCATTTTCTAATCCAGATCTAATAATGTAAACTGCCTCAATAATTCAAATATGCCTCAAGTAAATGAACAGGGTAGTCCCTAGAACTCGACTCAGGGATATTTGTTGGGCCGATACGCGCCAACTTAACAAAGATATCTGTCACTCCACAGAGCTGAGATATTAACTAACCAAATCTCCGTTTTCCCAATCCAGTATCAGTTCAGGTAAATAATTAGCGGTATAGAAGCTACTGGATTATTATCCGTGAATCATGTCTTAAACAAGATCGTGAGAAATCCTCTGAAGACAATGCTTATCAAATATGATAGGTAACTGGATAATCTCAGACCAGAGGAGTAAGATTTTACAACAGCAGAGTGGGACAACTTACACAGACGCACTATGTACCTGAACGTTTACAGCCAAATTAACACATTCAGATGAAACTCATCTTGAATCATGTCACAGTTGCACAATGGATCATAATTGAATGAGATGGATCATGGAGATTTCCTAGGTTTGAATATTGTTTAATTTTAGATACTTCGGTAACGTGAAAACTGAAAAACCTAAAGATTAGTAGTTCCGTATCGTATAAAATCGGAGACACTGTAAAAAATCAGTGTGGTGATACTTCAGGTTCCAAAACAGTAAACTTATATTTCAGAATAGTATGTAGGACATTTTTGATTAATGTTTAACATACAACCGATGGGAAATGTTTTACTATTTTTCTGCTATCTCTTTAGTTCACGCTGAAGGCATAATTTAGAAATACTACAATATATAGAAATGTTTTTATTTTAGCTCACAGTAAATGTGAATATTAGTTCTGGTGCTATATACAGTAGACTGATGGATCAATATTGTCATGATAGTACGTTCAATATAATACGCTCACTCTTACTCGGATTATTTTTGCAATACATGAACCTTCGAGTGAAGATTGTAAATATCATCTCAATTTAAAAATATATGAGCAGTAAAGTAACTTAGGGTAGAAGACTTTTTGATTAACACACTTTACTTTAGTTACTGAGTTTCAGATTCAAGCCACACCCATCTTTCTTCAGTCTTATCTACTAGATAACCCTCACGTTGGAAATATAGTTTGACAGAGTAAAACGTAGATCGGCACCTGGTTCCAGTTGCATTTAAATACTTAGTCGATCTTATGGTATATAGGAATATCAGAATTACTCCATTGAACACATTTCCACATTATGTGCCGATAAAATTGAGTACAACCTAAGGTAAAACTAGTCCGAAAAATGGTTTATCAATGTTGACAGTGATTATAATTTATTACTTATAACATGCCTCCTAAAATAAAACCATTATTGGACGCCAGTCACCATGTAAAAATGTGACTAAACCTTGAACCATGTTTAGTATGTAATGAGTGTTGAGTACCTGAATTAAATTATATGGAGCCGGACCCAATCTTATGACTCACAAATTTTAGTTCGATTCTTTCAAATATGTCAAGTAACAACAAGTAGAGTAAACACCTAGATAAAATGTATTTCCACAATCTACAATCTTGTGTTTCAATAAGCATATAAATCTAAGTACATAGCTTTCTGCTGACAATTATCAAGGGACAAATGATAAGTCTTGAATCATTTCACTAAAGATCATTCTATCTATAGCTACTGAATATAAAAATTATTTTGTATTCATTAATGATATGGATAACAAACAACGGAAATAACACGAACAAAATCTAATCTTCAATTTCATTTTGTTTGGTGACTCAAGTGGACAGGTTTGTTATATGCCCGCTGACTGACTCATACATAAAAAAACAGAACGGAAAAAATGACCTTACAATTTCGATCACAGCTGTTAGTATTTAAAGCTAAAGAAAAAAAATAAGATCTACCTACTGCAGTGATTCTTTCCGTATGTGAAACTTATAAGTATTATTGATAATAACCTAAACAGCGTGTACATACACTAAGGTTTCATATGCAGGTTCATTAACCAAGCTAATGAATACTTAACTCTCGGTCGCTCAAGATGGCGTAAAACTAATTTGCTCATCCCAGTAACTCCATATCTAGCAAAGTAATGAAAATACTTTGTAGATAAGTCAATTAATAAAAGACGGGATGCATAATGTATGAGAAACCACAAATAAGAGTGAACAAACTCTACAGAGCAATATGAGCTACTACTGTTGTGTAGACTGCTAACAATACCCAGCTACCAAAAATGTGGTATTCAGAAGTTGAACAAAAATTTACAGTACAGCGATCAGAAGTTGTGTCCAAACGTCGGAACTACAGCCACAAGAAAGAAAGTTGGCGTCTGGACTGGTGTATTGACACGAGGTTTATGATCTCATTAACTTCGAATCTAGGATACTCTCTATTATTATTTATTTATTTCACATTTTTTCATAATTTTCATTTTATTAATATGGTCATTAATTTCATTTGGATTCATTATTTATGAGGTTAACCAAAGCTGAATTCCTTTAAATCGAGTCAGAGTTAGTTTTGCTAATGTTTTTTTTAGAAAATACTTAGTACGAGATTATATTGGTCCTATAACTCAAATTTAAACGTCGTATTCACTGTAGAACAGGGAGTTTTGTATACGCTTAATGAATAAATTTTCTATTTTTTAACTGACAGTTGAAACGGAAACCAATAGATTTTTAACACTGTAACGAAAAGATGGGGTTTAATAAGAAGTTTGATTCTAGTCAGACTTTTCGGACTGAAATAAAACCATGAGTCATACTAATTCAATAAATATTAGTACAAAGTTGAACACAAAATAAATCATAGATCATGTACGTATGTAAGCCCACTCAGTATTTATTGAAAAAAATTGGCATGTTTTTACAGTGCAGAAATGATCTCAAGGTTATACAGAGTATATTTGACCTAAATATGGACAAGCAAAATAATTCAACCAATTACTCAATGTCTAGACAGTACAATCTCTGAATTTATGATTCAACACGATATTGTTGAACATCAGGTATTTGCAATGGGATTGACGACTGTTTTTTTTTAGACAATCGAGATCAGTGATAGTTAAATGAAAATGAACAGATGAAACAAGAAAGAATAAATTAAATTTATTATTTGAAAAGTTTGTTTTCATAATAAGGCATTATAACATAGTATGTGTAGTAAAATTAACAATAATAAGAGCATCACTAATATCACTATACCACAGACAGTATCATCAAAACAGTAATGGAGCTAACAACAGAAAGAAACAATATAAACAATAATAATAAACATTGCATACTTCAAAAGATACAAGTAAATAAAAAAAAGTATCTTGGAACAATTGTTTGATAGTGCTTGAAAATAAATATCACAATTTGTAAACAATTATGTGGATTGTACTAGTTCTTTATCTCCTAATAAACAATAGCACTGAAACCTAAGTATTGAAGACACTAAATGAAAAGAGTACAGCCCAAGAAAGAAGTAGTGTTGTTTATTAACAAAGATGATACCATTACCAATGTTACCAACATTTCCTCTTTCTTGGGTCTGTACTCTTTTCATTTAGTGTCTTCAATACTTAGGTTTCAGTGCTATTGTTTATTAGGAGATAAAGAACTAGTACAATCCCACATAATTGTTTACAAATTGTGATATTTATTTTCAAGCACTATCAAACAATTGTTCCAAGATACTTTTTTATTTACTTGTATCTTTCGAAGCATGGGATGCTTATTATTATTGTTGATATTGTTTTTACTGTTGCTATTACCATTACTGTTGATACTGCTATTATTACTGTTATTAATCCCATTACTAACAACCTCAGCGGTGATTTGTGAAGAAGATAACGTTTGCAGATCTTTAAGGGCTAATAAATATTTTATATGCATTTCAAGTATAAATGTTTGATTCAAAATTGAACTATTTCGTAAATGACTGCAGAATAAACTTGCAATTCGATAAGGACACATGGATCGGAGAGCTTTTAATCCACAAGCTAAACATGCTAAATCAAAAGTCACTGTGGGCGGTTCACCTTCTGATGGAAGAATAGAAGCCTGAGTTCCATCTTTTAATAAATTAGCAACACAATTCGACTGATCCGTTTTACTACTATTATTATTACTACTGTTCATGCATCTTGAAGCACGGATGACATTTAAACCCAAGGTAGGCAAAGTATCCGGTTCATCAACTGTTTTTAAAAAAGTAAAGAAAGAATGAAAGGCAAAGTAAAACTTTAAAAAAGTACATATTACTAGACAGTAGTAAAAACTAACAAATAAAACATCCATAGTAACTGTTCTGTTATTGTTTTAAAATACTTGATGGTGTTCAACCCAAAGTTTCTCCAAGTGCAAGAATATCACAACTAAATCATAATGTTGTAATACCATTTGGAATGATTTACTTCATGAAATATAGCATTTGTTCAGTGTGTTCAGTAGCTTCATGTTGAGTGATGCCCTAAGAATTAAAGTATTACACTTTCAACTACAGAATTATAGTTCCGAACCCCGTTTTCGCAACTAGTTTGAGTGATCAAGCAGTATAATTGGCTTGTACACACACAAAGAGTACATAAATCAGTTATTCGTAAATGAGTTATATTAACTCTTTAAAAATATTGCCAAGCATTGGAAACTTGCTAAGTTATCCGTCTTATTGTCGTTCTACGCCGATGTTTGAATGATTTCGTAATTCACGTGAGGTATTGCTTTCTTAAGGAATATATATATATATATATATATATATATATATATATATATATATATATATATATATCAGTACATTTCAATAAATCCAAAATCAAAGCAGCAATTAAAATGTCAGTCAATGGAAGTCGACAAACGGATAATTAACAAATACTTGTCTAGACATTAAGATCATGGTTATTTAAATATCACGTTAAAACACGAATTCCAAGCCTTAATTTGCATTTGAAAATTTCAAACTACACTTTCAAAAAAGATTAAAATCGGAATACGGAAATAATCTAGGAACATCGTATCCATGTACATCTATTCAAAAGGGATTTTAAAAAAGAAAGCCTTTTATGGTATGCATGTCTGTGTGACGGATGCATTTCTATAAAATATAAGTGGCACTCTGAAACCGAAGTAAAACGCACAAAGGAATATTTTTATGAAGTGGTAAATAGATGATTGCAATTTGTACGGAAAGATGTTCAGAATTGACGAGAAATCATACCGCAAAAAGAAATAACTACATATAAGCTAGCGAACCTTGCCATTCGCTACGTACTGATAAATTTCTATCTGAAAAGTATTTTTATCGTATATTAGGCACGTTGTGCTAGATTTCAGTATCGAGCGACAATGATGAATTGGTCGAGAAAGTTGTGAGAACCGTTAAAGATCAAAGTTACTGAAGCTCATTTCGAGTAATATAAAGCCACCGATCAATCCAATATGATATATCTACTAGAGTATAGGTAGGTTAGGAAAAATCATATGATCAGCTGAAAAAGTAAAAGCTGCTTAGACGATATTATAAGTTTTCTTACGCTTTTCTTATCATGAGCCAGGTCTACAATAAATTCATTTCAACCAATAAAACGTACACCAATATAATAGTACAACTCAACTGACTAAATGTTTTAAGTACAGGTAACTCAACAAAACTACGAGGAATCTGGTACAAAAATGATACTCTTTATTAAAGACATTCGGAACATACCAGTCAGAAGAACTACGTGACGCAATAAATAAAACTCCTGAGCACTCAAACCAGCTTGACGTATTTCTGACAAAAATTGAAGGAGTTCATTAGAAAACTTCCGATCTGGCCTCCTGTTTTTCGTTTCTCCATGTCTTTGTATATCTAGAAGCAGAGACCATGGGATTTCCAAGTTCATAGGATCCCGGTATTGATGGTTTTCTTCGTATGGTGATTTATCTTCAACAACAACAACATCCAAAGAGTTCTCAACCATACTTAAGGCTAACAGTTTTTGCCAGCATTGTGCAAGCAATGATAACCAAGGAAAAGCAACATTCTTGTTATTCAAATGATGTTCTTGTTTAGATAAATCATTAAGAGTCCATAATTTAGGTTTCAAAGTAGAAACAAGAGGCGTAGATAGGGCCACAAACTCAGTAATCTGCCGTAACCACTCGGTAATTCGTGCTTGCACCGGACGAGCAGTTTTCTTAGCTAACTGTACATAAGGAAAATTTCCATTCTGAATATTATTAACACCGGGAGTAATAGTAGGTAAAGAAAATGTATTTGTTATTAATGATATGGGTACAGAGTGGCCAGTGAGATCAATTGGCTCATCAGATCCTGAATCATTTGACAGTGAAGAGGTATGAGGAGATTTTTGCAGGCCAGCTGAACTATATCCTGAACTCTGAGAAGTGATAGTGGGAGAGGGAGCCATCATTCTGGGATAAACTGGAAAACTTTGGGGTGGAACACGGGGACTAGATACACCGGATGAGGATAAACTAGATTTTTGAGGTAAGATAGCGCTTAAACTGTGAGAACGAATGTCTATATGTGAAACGTTCATAGCATTTTCATGTGACTTTGACAGTGCCCGATGATATAATGTATATTTTGGTTTTGAAAAGACCGAATCTGGTGTTGATCCTTCCATTTGGCGACGATGCTGTAAACGTGCTTTGAGGCTAGGATAAAAATCAGAAGCGGCACCAAAAGATGAGGCATGAGGTCGAGTATATGGGCGGTTATTAGAAAGTTTGCAACCAAGAGAGTTTGCTCGATGACGAAAATTAGAATAAACTGTAGAACTTTTAACTGAGCTAGGATAAATGTTTGTATCTGCATTATGAGAATCCATGAACATTGTTGAGTCAGAAAGTGGCTTATCTGTTCGTACATCACTCATATTTTCATTAGTTTCCATTAATGACTGACCGGGAGAAATAGAGACCGAAGTTTTAGACGTAGAATTTTGTGATGAAGTTTCTTTGGAAATGAGCAAATTATATAATAATCCCTGATGTACCTGCTTAGAAGGATGAATGCTGTTAACATTTACCGGGTTCAATGAAGCAGATGGATAAGGGTTAATTTCTGAATTTCTCGACGGAATAAATTTCGTAGGAAAAGACAATGGACTAGGTATAGAAGAATCACCTGAAGGACTCAATCGAATTCTCGATAACTTTTCACTTCCTTCAAACACCGGTTGATTACTTAGAGTAGCATCGGGGATGTGTGGTGAAGATAATGATCTGTTATCTTCTGGAGATTGTTCTTCTGAAAACTTATAAAAATTTTGTTTGCATTCAGCAGTTTCATTTTCAGAAGCATTTGACAACGCCATATGTGACTCTTCACTTGTTACAAGAGCTTCTGCAATCCTAAAAACAAAAAAATATGTTTATATCAATATTCGTCAAGATTAGAACTAATAGTTTGAAAGAAATTGGGAGCCGAGTATAGGGACGTCATTATATATGTCATTATATATTTCTTTGATGATTTTGATTATTACCCTGAAGAAGTCCAGACAAGTTAGCTGGAAGAAACGTTGGAACTATTTAAGTGTTAATCGCTGAGATCATTTCAAATATAATTCTCACATATAAAATCAAATATGTTATTGTAATTTATATCAAAACCTTTTAAGACTAAAAAAATAATGTGGTCTGTCATGAAGAAAAATTTGTCACTAAAATCGATCAATCATCAGCACAAACTTCAGAGAACAAAACTCCACCAAAATCGATCAATAAAAATGGTGTCAAACACTGATCATTATTTTTAGGGTATACAACCATACTAAATCGTGTTTTAGGTTTCAAACGTTTCATCGGGGTCCGAGAGACATTTGCACTATTGATGAATAGGACAATGATTCAAAGAAAAACTCAAACAAAAATGATAAAGTTATTTCAAGATGGTCAGTAGACTATTAGGCAATTTATTGGTATCCATTACGGGGTTTGAATAGTTGTAACGCATACAATCATATTCAGTTATCCTTAATAAGTCGGTATTAGAATCTAATAACTTTGGTGAAAGAACTGACAGTACCTTCTCCAAATAACTTTTAAGTTCAATGGTTGAGATTATGAGTCAGTTGAAGCTAGACCACCATGGAAAACCTAGAAGCACTGGACAGCCGATTGCTGACTCGTGATCTCAACCATTGAAATTACCCTAATATACACAAAACCCCTTCTGATAATGATCAACATATGCTCACTAGTGACTGGCTTCAAGAGGTATATCCTGGAGTTCTAGTGAGAAGCAGTGACCAGTGGAGTTCAACCAGGTCTGTTTTGATACTAACTCACTGATGATAATGGTGGATGTGTCACTCAATTTTGTGGATCAGTTAAAGTTAGACATTATCACTGTTGAATGCTAGCTCAGTGGTCTAGTGGTTAAGCGCTCGCGCGCGAGACTGATAGGTCCTGGGGTCGAATCTCGTGAGAGGCGAGATCGTGGATGCGCACTGTTGAGGAGTCCCACAGTAGGACGAAACGGCCGTCCAGTGCTTCCAGGTTTTCCAAGGTGGTCTAGCTTCAACTGACTTACGATCTCAATCATCGAAATTACTATAATATCCACAAAGCCCTTTCTGGTATTATCTTTTAATTTGCCTAACAAGAAGAACAAATTATGAAGTCAAAAATAGATTAAGCTGATTTACCATGCGGTTCATTTTTTTTTAAAGTCAAGTCTCATAGTTAAAAAACATAGTAAAAAGATAACCAAGAATGACTGTTTATTGTCTGCAAACAACAATCAATCGGTTAGGAATTTGATTCAATCAGTAAATATTTATCCAAATATGGGAGAAGGCTAACTAGTAAATTTAGTTGTAACCATATTCAACTTATCCATGAGAACAAAGTTAATATATATCATGTTTAGCTCTTTGTAACTTCATTATTACAACCGAAACAGACTATAGGTCACCAGAAAATAATGTAATCAGCATCTAGTAGGAAACTCCTGTATAATTACTAACCAGGTTGTTGTGGTAATTTTCACTCAATGTGATTCTCCCTAAATTCAGATAAAATATACTTCGCAATCGCTTTCCAATTTAATCTAGCTGATTGTAAAGCTCATTAGGTTTTCTTAAACCTTGAGTCGTAAGAAAGTAAACCCTGATATTACTAGGCTTCAATTAAGCGGTTAAAGGGACTGTCCGCACATAACAACTACACAACATGAGTACAGCCATGGATCTCCAATTTGATTATGAGTGTCTAAAATGATAGAGGAAGACTAAGCGAAAGTCATGGGCGATTACTTTGGACGGTCTTTATTTATGAGCCTGAACTTGACGAAAGACTAGGGCCAGAATCAATATTACTAAGTCGATTACTCGCTGTAGACTTTAATCACTAGGATGTCCCAAGGATACTAGACTCTCTAAGTACGGAGAAATTAACAGGAGTGGATGAGATACGCCCTAAAATTATGAGATTCATTGCGACATATATTGCTACACTGTTCACTAGGATATTTAGTGTCATTCATCCACAGTTACATGTGGAACGAAAAGGTACAACTAACACTCCATTTCACAAGGCATAATAAAGACTATTCCTCTTGAAGTGCAGACTCATCAGCCTCACCAGTGTCGTGGTTAAATTTTATCATAAGGAATGAACGAAAAGATAATTACTTAGGTGAAAACCAACACACTTGTTATACAATGAATGAAATGGTCTCAACAAAGGAACACCACATACGACTAAACTAATAGTAAGACAGAGATGGACGGAGTTATCTGATGATAGAAAATAAATAAGTCATGTTTACGTTAACTTCAGTACATCATTTAATAAGGCACCACATAATAGACTTCTACTAAAACTTGGGAAACTCAAGAATTAGTGCAGCTCTGATAAATCGGATTAAGGTCTTCCTAGTGGTTCGTCGACTACAAGAATAAGACGCAAATGTTCTTCTTAGAAACCAATACTTAGTGGAGTGCTCAAGGCTCCCTACTAGGTATTTAACTTTTTATACTCCATGAGAATGGACTCCCGAGTATAATTAAGTTTCTAAGGCTACTTTGAGCTGATGGCATCGAAATCTGGAAAGAATTAAGGAAGGGTGGAAATGCATGTGGACTCCAGGCCGAACGAAATGCTCTAGTTAGCTGATCAAAATTATGGTCAGTGCGTACCAATACGACCAAGTGTCAACACAAAGTAGTAAATAACTCAGTTCCTGAATCATATAGAAATCATTTTCCAAACAACACTTCAAAACTTTCAAATTTTATTTCACTGACTTAATATCAGAGTGCTAACAAAAATTTATTGAATCACAATCACAGACCGATCTAAATTACCATACCATTGGAGACTTGGAAGCAATGGATGGATTGGTTCATGATTTTAATGAAATTTTACAGTTTATTAGTTGAATAACGGAATACAATGACCGCAAGCGACCTTTCCTTTTATATGAGAGCGAATATCAACAACCAACTTATCAAAAAAGTTTCAAACCAAAAACCTTATGGTTAAAAGCTGGGTTCATTGACTACTATGCCACTACATCCAAAAATACCAACGTCGAAAATTTTTCAATAGTTATCAAGTTGCACTTTTTAACAAAAAAGATTGTTTGCAAAAGAACAACAATCAATTTTATTAAAGTACAAAGATAAAAATAAAATAGTTATATAATTAACTCAAATTCAATACACAAACCAAATAATCAGAATTTTAATTATTGTCAAATAAAATTAATTGGAATAATTGCAATTGCTAGCATTCATTCATTCTGAAATTTCGATGTTTGGTTAATATTAGTGATAGAGAAATTATAACTTCCAAAATACGGGTAAACAATGAGTACAATCTGATAAATTATAACTTTGGAATTATGTGTAACGCAAGTATGACAATCTATAATGTATAAGGTTTATTTAACCTTCAAAACTACTCAAAAATTCGTAGTTTACTTTTTTATCAATCTGAAAAAGCATCGCGTAAAATACAACCATCATGAATGATTTACAAGAAATTTAAAGAAATATAATGTTTGTATCAAGATTAGTACACATATTTGTGTGCTGTAGGCCAAGTGAAGCCCAGATGGTTAGAGGAATATCTATGTAAATACCATGGACTTCACAAGACAGTTGAAGATTTTGATCAATATATCAATAATAAGCGTCAGAAACTTGACTACTTAATTTAATTATCAGTCAGTCAGTCAGTAACAACGTAGAACTACGTACTTACGTACATCAGTTCGAGTTGCCATACCACATTAGCACAGAGATGCAGTTATCGATTCAAATCCTGTAGTGGCAGATCTAGTAAGAGTATAAGCAGTAACCGAAAACATTTGGCTTTGAAGATGTTACTCAAGGAGTACAATCCAGTGAAATAAATTTGGAAAGAGGAAAAATAAGAGACAAGGACAATTCAGAAGATTAGAATTTGGGAGAACACAAAGAGTAGATGCACCTGCGCCATTGCAAACGATTTTAAGCCATGTCATTCAAGGTCTCTAACCATCGGTTGCCATCGTCTCGCAGATCCCAACCACGTAGTCTACACCTACCAACATGTCTCAGTCCACTTGTCAGTGACTCCACGAATTTGTGCCGCGTTTTGGTCTGGCCACCCTTAGCTTTCTTCCAACCTACGCCTACACCATAAAACATCGCACGTCGGGACAGTCGGTGTTGGGCATACGTAACACGTGTCCCAGCCATCTCAACTGATGAAGTCTCACCACCTCATCAATTGATTTGCCATCCTTACATAGTAACCGTTTCCTAACAACTGTATTACTTACTCGGTGGTCCCAGGATACACGAGCAATATTTCGAAGACATTTATGATCAAATACTAGTAACCTACGAATATCCTCTACTCTTAGCAGCCATGTTTCACTGCCATAAAGTAGGATGGAGCGAATTGCTGCGCAGTAAACTTGTCCTTCGATTGGTAGACGGACATCTCGTCAACGCTGTAAATGACGGGAGTTGGCAAAAGCTAGTCGAGCCTTTTTTTTATCCCTGCTGAGATTTCGTCACACACCAGACCACAAGAGCTGATGAGACTCCAAGATAAGTGAAGCGGTCGGTACACTCAACTACTTCACTCCCTATCTTTAGTTCAGGTGTCGATGCCACCCAATCCTGAAGTAACATTTTGCATTTCGAGGGTGAGAATCGCATCTCGAACATGCTTGCATTGTTGCTTATAGTGGTCAGAAGACTCTGCATTTTGTCAGCGTCTTAATTCTACCAAAATATTACCACATAAGAACAAATTAAACTCTCATATCAATGGTTTTACCAATGAAACCATATATATATATATATATATATATATATATATATATATATATCCGTAGTAAACTATGAGCTACAGACATTTGAAGAGTTGATTAAATTCTCGACTCATATCACATATACCGTAGATATAAGAGATAGGTTAAAGTCAGTTAACCAATGGTTGAAAATCGAGAATTTACAGGAAAAGTATCACAAATAATAAATGCAAAGAAATCTCCGTTGAAATTTTTATTTTTCTTAAGACCCAGAAACATGTACTACTCACGTTTAAACAAGGATTAATAATATATATCATGGCTAATTAATACGAAATTACGTAGTGCTTTAGTTATTTATAAATTAGTAAATCTATCGAATAAAAAAATGGATGGGACTGAAATTTATACACTTAAATTACGGTAAATTCATTAACACCAGTAGACAGATTCCAATTGTTGTAAACAACTAGTTTTTAGGAAATTAAAAAAAGAATAGAGAAACATTTCCACCTTTATTAATTTGCTTTTTTTTTCAAACAAACTCTACATGTGATTCCAGTTTTCACTAAGTATCGTTGGTGACTTTTCCAAAGTTTGTAGAGCTTTTCTTGATTAACTATGAAGTTTTTATCAAGTAAAACACTAAAATTAGGATATAATTCTTTGATAAAGTCAAGCAATAGAACATAACTTTAATATGTATTAACCATTTATAAAACTTATCGGTAAGAGCTAAAGCATATCAACAGGCTTGAGCACAACATACATGACTACTGATGGCATGGGGTATCATAACACGAAACAGTCCTATTCCATTCATTTTGATGCAGGAAGCCGAGTCATTTCAATAATCCTCACAAATATTTGTAGTTGTCAAACAAAAGTAATTAAATAAATTTCATCATATTAGTGTCACAAAATTTTAGCGATATTTTATGAGTGAAAACTACCAATGGTGCTTTGTTGGTGAGGTTCTATTAAAAGAAGTAGTTTCAAACAGGTAGGCATTACATTTCCACTAGAAGTTTATGAATACTAATTTCACACCATTTATCTATGTTATATATTCTAATTTATATGTCAACCAGCCCTCATTAAAGTAGCGGAAACAATCTTGGTACAAAACTGTTATTCAGTTTTGGGAAAGGTGGCCAAATAAAATCAATAATAATAATAATAATAATAATAATAATAATAATAATAATAATATAATAATAAAATAATAATAATAATGTCACTTAATCTCTGTTTCAAACCTAATTTTGAGGAAACCTAATAACTACTTCCTCCATCAACTCTAAAAGGTAGTTTTGTGAAAATCTTTGTACAAAACTGAATGTAAGACAGTTCATGTGATCTTGATTTACGTGTAAGTTGCTCTCATTTATGTGCAAACAGGCGTGAATGTTGTTTTATTATAATGGTTAGCAGATTAAAATTTAATCGGTACTATGCTCGATTTCTAGAACCAATGAGATTCCACAGCGATGAAGGATGAAACGAATGAAACCTATGATCCAAAACACCTACCGGTAGACTACAAACACAAATAGATTCAAAACAATTCTTCTAATAATCTTTTCAGACTATTTCTTCAAACATTAGTTTAAAAAGGAAGAAACTCTGTAGAAGAAACCTAACACAATACAGTAAATAAATAAGGATATGAACTATTGAAATATTCAGAATAATTACAATAATGGTGAGAAGTGAAGTTGTGTAAGAAACCAAGTTGAAACAAATTCAAAATGAGACGAATTTATGAATAATAAGCATACATGTGACCAACTTTAATTTATAACATATAGGTGAACACTTGATTTAGGTTACCTTATGCTCTCTAATTAAAAATCCACAGTTCCCTACATATATTATGGACACATTGGCATTTAAGCTTCTCTTCGAATTTCAAAAGCAGTGTCACTAAAACAGAACGATGTTTTCCGTATATTTCATCTACCTTGTAGGACAGCCAAAATACATCCTTTCGTTGCACATTTATGTAATACAAACAATTTGAGATAAATAACTATATGCAGTCATTATTGATACGCTTCTCTTTAGCTGTATAATGAAAGTGAATCCACTGTTACATCAATTTCTCTGTAGATACTTTGAACTAAAATGCCAGCCATAGCCTTTGATTCCTTAAATGATCAGCTACTTGTGCTGTAGGGCTTATAGATACAGAGACATTCCCATTTTGTAACAGACGTCATAGATTAAATCCAGTTTTACTCGGTCTAGATGGACCAGAAAATTTGTTCAATACTGAGGAAAAAAAATTCCCCATACAAACTGATGTGCGATGTATTTACTATCTGTTCAACGAATCGACCTAACTCATGTAAATTTCAAATCGAAACACACTATGATGATTCGAGTTTAATCTTAGTATGACAAACGTTAGTCTAAACAGGACAAAAACGATGCTAGAAGCGATCAACTTATTACTGTTCAAAATAAAACCAACGAATTAATAGTCGAGTAAGACGAATATTATCCATAAATTGAATACAATGAGTGACATTATACAGTTCAACATATATTCAAACATTTGCCAATCTACTTTAAAAAGAAATGTATCGTAATTTATCAACACTGTTTACTGTCAAAAACACCTGTAAACAAATGAGTACAAATGACTTTAAAATTGAATTATCCTCTTTAGAGGATTTGTATAAAGATATTTTGTAATCGTACACACAGAACCTGAGCATAAATGTATGACGTATCAAGTAGCCCTACTTAATATGACCACTCTGGAAATAACAAAAAATTCAAAGGCTTAGACAGCAATAGAAATGATTTGACCATAAATTGTAAACTTTTTTACACTTAACTCAATAGAGTGCATGAAAATTCATATAGAATATGAAATTTAGAAGAACGAATTCATGATGATAGTTTCCGTGATAAATAAGTGTTCAAAAGCAGTACATAATCTTTTGGGAAAGTATTCAAAAATAAATTATATGATCGGACATTTACTTTCTAACTAATTGATTGTATCAAATCATGTAACAGCCTTTTAATATTGCCCCGTTAGATAAGCTGTAACAAGAGAACAAATGAAATAAGGATCATTGGATAAGAGGATGACCATTCTGGTAACCATTCTTTTCATAATGTTTACCGGAGCTTGGCAAAAACAATCGGAGAACTACAGCTATATCATCCACCTTGTACAACCCATTATAGTTATTGAATGGTTTTATGTGAAAGCTGAGCATCATTATAAATAAAATCAACGCCGAATTCAGGAAATACGGGTTGACCTTAACGCGAATACTAGAAACTAACTGAACACATCTTTCTGTATTGCAAGAACAGAAAAAAACGTTGAATATATTTGTCATTAATAGAATAACCAGTAATAAAGATGTTGTTCAACTTAACTGATAAGAACTAGGTCTTTAAGAATGATCTCCATGATTATTGAAAAAAGATATTCAGATCTAAACTGTTTTAAAGATGAGAGTTAAGCATTCGGGAAGTCGTTTCCATAACAATACGCTTCTGTCAAGTTGCGAAAAAATCAATCTCTGTACTAACATGATAACTGAGTGAAGACAACAAAGCTTGAAATTTGGTCTTCTTTTTTCTATCCAAATATCTTTTTGACAATCAAACACTAAACTGCTCAAATTACGAATAATCTCTAATAGGAGTGAATAGGTCTCTGACGCATGTCAAAGTAGTAATACTAAACAATCATTTGGTGCAGAACCAAAATCAAGAAATACAACCATCACTGATAATCTATTTGTCTATTTTTAAAGTAAGCCATCATTCTGTGAGTTAGCAAATAGTTTGTAAGGTTAACTGGCTAGAATACTTAACAAGACTTAAACTAGTAAGTAGAATGAATTGACCTCTTTTACTTGAAAAAAGTCCGAATGTCCTCATCCTCAAATTTAGTTTGATATATCTTACGCTATTTAGGAAAATAAACAAACAACAGAGTTGATAAATCAATATCCTTCACTCAAAAATAATGGATCAACCACAACAAACTATTGATCAACAACGATCAAACTTATTCCTTTGCTTAAACATGTTAATAAAATTTTTTCCATGACCAAATTAACAAAATTACCATCATATGTCAGGTGGAAAAAAGTAAACATTACTATTCAACAACGGTGTAGATAATCAACCAACAGTTCAAGCCCATTTGGCGCATTTTATCCGACACGGTTACGTACTATCATCCATAAGGTAGATATGACTGGGAAGTTAGTACGCCCATAAAAAATGGATAGTATGATAAACAAAATGCGCGTTTAGTTCTGGATTGATTTCGTCACCATACAGAAAATAGTGAGATATAAGCCAACCAAAAAAGTCCATTCCAGAAATGCATAGAAAAATAAACGGTAGTGGGGACTATGCATTTAAAATATACAGGAAAATCGGACATTACTTACCGTAAAAGGAACATGCTTCTAAGATGATTTAGTTTTCAGGCGCTTCACATGACTTTTCATTAGTACACTGAATATCTACTATCTAATTCCTCGTGGTTATATTGATCCACAAACTAGGTCATTGAATAAACACTGTTTACATAGGAATGAGTTTTAAAAAACCATCATTTCAGTCAGCTGCAGTCATGGTCGATATTTATGTCATTCCAAAAAGCAAGTGTCCAATTGCCAGGTGGACAGATGTTTAATCGCGCTTCGAATAAGATAAGGACATAAACAATATTTTTTACTGTGTGTATTTATTTGTTGAAGCCATTTTTGCTTTTGCTTGCATTATGACACCTAGGGGGAGAGATCTAACTCGAATTGTCCTTGTATCATACTGTTCGTTTAATCCAGGTCGTGATCTAGTCACTGATTGGTCAATTATTTCGGAATTCAGATTGGATAGTAGATATTATGACGCGAAAAGGCAAAATTACGCATGACTAGGTCGACGCCTAACTCTATGGCTTTGGCAATAATGAGGTCATCATCATATGATTGGTTCTTCAAAAATTCTATTGCCCTAGTATTCCAGTATTTAGGACAGTTATAATTCTTTTGTTTATCAATAGGTATGTCCGTCTATCATTTACGCGCACATTTGAAACTGACCTTGACCCACCTTCAGTTCTGAAAATAGATCATATAATCAACATTACCTGCTTTAAATAGCACATTGTTTAACCAAGCTGGACTTAAATGCTAGTCTAAATAATAGATTTTGTTATGAGTGAAATATTAGACTAGGCCCATGTCGTTTTTCTTTGAAAATGTGTTCTGCTTATAGAAGTAAATACTACAAATAAGCGTGCAAAATGTTACTGTTGAGTTATTACTTGCATAATAGTTGTAGATGCCTATTAAACTTCGGTTTCTTGTGTGTTGGGATTAATATATAAAACCCTCGTAAATGGTCGTAACAACAAACATTTGAATTCATACATCTCAAATAATTTCGGACTATGAAATATACTACCATGCTGGAATAATATCTCAATGTTAATCAAAAGAATATCTTAAATACTGAGGTCGAGACATGACCTTGGCCATTGTGCATTGACAAGCTAATTGAGTATATCCAGATAGGTATAATCAACTGGGCTATCAGAGATATCGGAATTGTTACATAAAGAATGTTGGTAATGTTCACCTTTAGTACTCGTGTGTGTAGAGCAGCTGACGTACAGTGATACATGAAAAAAAGGGGATACACGATGCTACTACAAGGGAAGATCATTTAAACATGTTAGTTCAGGCATAAAATATGAATTCATGAATTAAAATTCAAAGATTAGTTTCTAAGATTCTCAGTATTTTGGTGGGTTAATTGATTAATTATCCACTGAATAACAACTAACTTTCATAAAATCATCAACGTTGACTCAACTAACCGATCAAGCCAATGATTATGGTCTGAAAGCTTACTTGAGTTCTTTTTGAATAACTTGAAATTTGTAAAATATGTAATGCAAGATTATGAGTGCCATACAATAGGACAGAAAAGGAAAAAAACTTGAAAGCTCATACATTAGTATGGGGTTGTGGAGATTGAGATCGTGAATCGATCGATGTTAGACCACCAATATGAATCTGGAATTGCTGGACAGCCGTTTCGCCCTAGTATAGGACTCCTCACGATCCTGCACGTGGGATTCAAGCCCAGGACCTTAGGTTTCGCACGTTAACACTAAACTTCTAGACCACCGAGGCGACATCCAATGGTGTTAATGTCTAACTTCAATCAATCCACGAAATTGCGTGACCAACTTCCATTTTACTGAAATAAATACCTGTCTTTCCTGATGTGGATTAGCTCCAATGATCATGGCTTCTCATTAGAACTCCGAGATTTCCCTCACGAAGCTACTCCCTAGTGAGCACATGGTCTCATACTAGGACAAAATGGCCGTCCAGTGGTTTCAGGTTCTCAGTGGTGGTCTGACATCGATCGATTCATGGTTTCAGTCAAAAGCTCATACGTCTTTAACATTTCCTTGTGATTTTAAAAATAACTTGGAAGCAGAATGAAAACTTATCCTGTTGAAATAAACTTAACATTATCGAAAATACTTCTTCCATAAATACGAAAATATAAGAATGTATCTTTGAAATATCAATACTAATTGAGTTTCCATATTGTAATTTTTTAGACAGTTTATGTAACGTTGGTTTTTCATATGGTCGACGTTCACTTGTTTACTAACTGACGTAAACGAATACAGTTTTTTTCTGATCATACTACTCTTCAAAAATTTTCAATAAACAGATATTTTTTAATTATATCCAATGTCTGCATAGTATCGTAGGTAATTTGATTTATAGAAAGCAAATAGTAGTTAATGTTCCGATTTAAACTACATTGATACTTTAAAATGAAAATAGGATACAGGAACATGCAGTTGAAACTCAAACAGGATGAAACACTAGTCTTGGATCCTAATGCTAACCAGTGTTCAAAGTAGGATGAACTTGATTATGACAGTATTGAATTATGTGTTCATACAGTCATATGTTCTGAAGACAAGCAATGGGAAGTCAAGAGCCATTCGGTTATATGGGTTATACAATTGTCATGTAAATGAGTCTTTAGAATCGAGGTTTTTGTATAAATTTTAATTCATCAAAAACACAAGCATCGTTTAATTGTTTTCTATTTATACATACACATATTCTGATCTGCTGTGTATAACTCAGTTGGTAATTCTGGTCGTTAAAATATGTTATGGTCTACAGTTCAACTGGGCAATTATCCACATTTTTGACGCTTTAATAGCCAAACCTCTCTGAAACCTTAATGATGTTACTCTTAATTCATGAACATTTATACGTTGATGGACTGACGGAGATAATAAAATGCAAGGTAACCGTGGTTAGGGGAATAATTAACTTGGTTATGATAACCAGCCCACATTTACGTTTCACATTTCCCGAGACCTTGAAACGTGATATATATAGCTTCTTTCGGTCTATCACTTATCCTTACTTGATGTTTGAAGCTCACGTTATTGGTTAACACTTCCTTCAGAACTTATTCGATTACTGATTAATACCTACAATAAACTGTTTAGACTTAAGTCATGTTCCACTCAGTTTCGTTAGCCCATTTTACTCAAACAGTAGGATAATAGTGACAGATACAAAACAAAATAAACAATGGATTATTTAAGTGCCATGAGTTAGTTTATCAGAACTATTGATGACAAAAGTAACTCAATAAACATTTTCTCTTAAATGATTATTTTGATCTTAAAATGAACAGACATTCTGAAGTTAATAGATCATTTGCGATTAAAAATTATGGTTGTTCCATATATATGAAAAACTTTGAACGAATCATTGTTGATAAGTCATTTCCTTTTACTAACTATCAATGATCTCTCAAGATAATCCTTAGTAAAAGTTGCTAGATAGTTAAATACATTCTTTTTTTACATCGAAATTCCTTCCAACTTTGTTGTACATTGTGATTACCGAATTAAGCCAGTCAAAATAAAGTTTGGTACTGCCTATTTTATAATAACAGACAAGAGAATTTCAATTTATGTTAATAAATAATGGGTTAAATTATTTGAGGTTTAATTTACATTAACAGGCATATTAATTAATTTTTGTCCAAAGAGCAAGAAGTCATGAATATCAATAAAAATTAAGAATCTGTGAGTTTCCTGACAAAATGACCAATCAATACAAATGTATGAACTGTCATCTATAATCTGTCCTCATTGTTGTTAGCTTACGGTTGCTAACTATTGGCTCATATACGTGGTTGTTACTTAGTTTTATTATGCCATTTTCCGTCGGTTTCAATCTGTTCATCAAAAGTCTTAGAAATTATCATAAGTTATTCGTCTTTTTTGGTTTGAGGATAACCAGCCTTTGTTCCAATGTTCAATAAAAGTATGATCATATGATCATAGTTTAGGGTATTCACATGATCAAGTATTCTTTGATTAAAGCAATTAAAGTTTAGGTTCCTAACCAATGTTTTATTAAACAAATATGAATGGATCTTTTAATCTCATTAAATGAACTGATTCATAAGATCAACAAATATACATTCTCTTTTTTACTTAAGTTTGAAACCAATTAACTGTATTGGCTAAAGAAATAGCTAGTTTGTGAATCATGTATAGAAAGGTTAATCAGCATAATGGATTGATATTTAATGTACATCAATTCCGATAAACAATTTTCATTGATGATACCAATTTTTTTTAACTTATCAAATGAGATTGAAGCACTCAAATTAGACTGTTAAGTCTTTGAAATAATTGGATATTTATTACGTGACAAGTTGTGCATACAATCCCACCGGTAGGCAGTGCTTGATATATCGTTATATTTCTAGTTGATATTTCATCTCCTGTTGTTAATGTTATAACAGTTTGAAAGATAATTTAACTTTATAGAATATTTTTATTAGGTTATGAATTTAACTGGAAAATCATTGAAAAAGTTTCCTTCCACTTTTAAATTTTCTTCTCAAACCTAAACTAATCTCCATGACCAACTGATAAAATAAATGATAATTCAATCGGAAAACCAATCAAAAAATCCATTATATCTTAAATGAATATGGTGATTTCGGTTGGAGGCATTGTATCAGTCCCTTCCAGTTGTCTAACAGAACCAATTCTGAAGAAAGCACTAAGTTACATAGGGTTAATCCCAAAGATAAGGTTTTCTTTCATATATCATTACCATTTTAATGAACATATAATATTCCGTAATTCAGCAAAGTAGAATTAAAATTTCAAAGGTTAATACAATTGTACTTCTCCAGTTATTGCTTGCCGAATTTATTGATTAACGAAACAAATTTTTATGTATTTTGGTAACTATGACTTCTGTACTGGATTCGTGGATTGACTAGGAAAACAAAGATCAAAAGTCAAATGATCTTGAAGATCAGTACATTTAACTTATCCTTTATAATACGTCTCCAAATGACGTAGAATAATAACTGGCAACATCAAATGTGTCCTGCTGCGTATGTATGTGTGTTCACAGGAAATCCACCAAGAGTTAAATGCATTTTCGAAAGAATTTCATTGAGCATGTTTTAGAAGACTTGAATAAATATTGCGATGCTCTGAAATAATAATAACTAATTTTAATAAAATTAGAAGAACATAAATATAATTTACTGATGAAATACAAAAAATGAATAAAATAAGTACATTTTAATGGTCTTTATCGAATATACTCTATTAGTCCCTTGATAAATAGCGTTATATTCTGTAATATCACTAGCTAATTATAGATTTATACATTTGGCTATGATCCATGTTTAATGCACATAAGCTAAACAAAATACTACCTAATTATTCTGATTAAATCCCAGTACACTTGTAGTGAACGAGAACACAAGTGTGGACAACCGAATGTATTTTAGCGCAAAATTACATAACATCTCGATAAAATTTGCGAACCATACAGTAAACACTTCATTTGCAAAATATCC